TGTTCCCTTCCCGAACTTGGAAGATGTAGGGAGTGACGATGGTTTGTCACAGAACGATGTGGTTGATGCTGTGTTCTCGGTCGACACTGCGTACGAGGGGGATTCTGAGGACGACGATGGGCTAGTGTATGCCCCAGCGAATGAGATCATTATGATCTCGTCTGACGAGTCAGGTGAAGACAGCGGGGGAGCAAGTTCGGTTGTCGACGACGAGTGAAATGCCGGCCGTGGAGTGTGGTGAATAAGTAGTGTACAGTCCAATCTTTTGTAGGGATGCAGTTGGTTAACACAGAACGAAAATGTCTGCATGAACATTTCCTTTCGCCGTTATCCGGGTAGTGTATTTTGTGTATAGTCCAGTCCAGTCCGGTCGAACTGTCGAGAATTACAGATTTCTATCTGTCGGGATCGACAAATTAACCTACACCTATATTTTGCACAATGTTTGCTGGATGTTATGAAATGCTATTTATTTAGAGCTGATTTCTTTCCGTGGTGGACGATTTTAGAAATTATAATATACTGCATGAATATTGAACTTAAAAATTTTAAATGGGGTTCATGATGCGCGCAGTCCAACAACAACAAGAGAAGGACAACGTCCCAATTTACAATTCCATTTGCCTATTTATAACATAACTTTGTAAGGTGCAGGGCACTAAGGAACATTGAACATACAACGTCGATTGCACTAACAACGTTTAGGGAACTTGTGATACATTGGGGTTCGAACATGTGCTCCGATTATGACCAAGACGACCACAACGAGTGCATTTCCTGCTCGACCATGCAGATTCGTGTCTTGAACGCTTACGTCGGGTCGGTGGTCTACCTGGAGGGCGACGTACGAGTGGTGGCAAAATAGGAGTGGATGTAATTAAACTGGGAACAACCCAGTCCGCTTCACGGCCAACAGGGTATATTGCTTCGCTATAGGCACCCCTCCAGTATCCAGATGTGTAATAAGGGGAGCAAAGGTCATACAAAGACTTCCCTTTGAAGCAAGTAGCACGAGTTGCATGAGCACATGGCATACGGTTTAGTTGGAACTCACGACACGTGCAGGTGTCTTCGAAAAAGTCAACTATGTCAACGTTGTTGGATATTCCAACCTGAGTTAAGTTATTTGTCAACAAATGGGCTCGAAGTCTAGTTCCAGTTTTGAATGTCATCCGTAACTCGTTTTCCATCCTCGACGTCAATACTGTACTGCATTCGATCGCATTTTTTGACGTTCATAAAACCACTTCTGCAAAGTACTCCGAGTGTGTTCGACCAAGCAAGTTATCGGTAAAGAACGGGCTTCTCTCAACATGGAGTTCAGAGACTCAGCGTTGTTGTTCGTCATGATGTTGTAACGGTGGCCAAGAAATAGTGCTCGGGACCAAAATGAATAACCCGCACGCTCTAAGTACCCGTGTGCTCTTGTGCTCACCCTGCGGATCTGTCCCATGAGTCTTTCGAAGTCCTCAACCCGATATGTCGTAGCAGCTCGTTTGAATAGAAGTATTGAACTTGCGTTGCTGTACCGCTGTATGAGGTTCTTTTCGAGATGCCAAATACAACAACCATGGTGAGACAACGGAAACAACTGAGTAATAGCTTTGTCAATGCTCTTTTTTCTGTCTGAAACAAATACGAGGTCTTCGGAGTCCCCTATAAGCTCTTTCAAGTTGGACATAAACCACATCCACGATTTATTGGTTTCAGCGTCCACGATCCCCCATGCTAACGGATATATCTGTTTGTTACCATCTTGAGCAGTTGCCAGTAGAAGTGTCCCTTTGTATGGCCCCTTTAGATGACTGCCATCAACACAAATAATAGGTCTCAAGTACTGCGTGTAACCACGAATGCTTGCACCGAAAGCTAGGAAGAAGTAATGAAATCTATTTTGAGAATCGAGTTCTATGTGGGTTACTGTCCCCGGGTTACTCTCTCCTACGACGTGGCAGTATGAAGACAATTTTTGAAAACTGGCTTCCGGTGTACCGTGTAGCATAGTTAAGGCATGAAGCTTTCCCCTACGAGCTTTGTTGTAACTGATTTTCACATCGAACTCACGTTCCATATCACGTGCAATAGCGGTAGGGTCATACGATCGACCTGGAGTATCCAGTTTGCCTACAATGTGCTCGGCAATTACAGAACTAATGGCATGCCGATGTGCGTGACGACGAAAATCAAGGGAACATGTGTGCTCGTTGATGAATTTACGGATCATGAAGATTGCAGATTGCTTGACAGTAGAAGCACGTAGCATCCACTTGCAATTATCATCCACACATACAACGGTTAACATTTTCATGCTTGACCTGCTCACCCGAAATTGAAACTTCTCTTGCAAAGCAAGCACACGAATCTTAGAGTACAACTGTTTCTTGCTAAAGAATATTTGCTTTTCGGCGAGAACGACGGCTGCCATCCACTCATCTGTGCCTAAACTCATGGAATGTGATGACACAGGCTGGTCAATTTCAGCAATAAAAGCATCATTCGTACCATGTAATAGGTTCTCTAAGTGCTCAACGGATGCTGCAGCCTCGATATGGTCAATTGAATGTGCGGGTGCTTCGTTGTTCGACCCACTATGCTCATGATTGACCTCACCATTTCTTAAAGTCTGGGGACATTCCGTTAGGCCGAACCGGCTCTCTACACAGTTTGCTTCCCTCGCCATGTCAACACTAGGAACCTCGGTTTCCATAATAGTGACGCAGAGTGCAGTCTCCTTATAAATAGATATGTACCAATTTAGGTCCTCATCGTCGTGTATCTCTGCCGGAGGTATATTCAAATTCGGGACTTTAAACTTCAACTCAATTTCATTGCGGGGTTCAACAATACCAAGTTTCTCCTTCAATCTTAATACAAGTTCTATTACGGTAATGTTTCTCGGCGCTAAAATGGAAGTCGTTTTGTCCCCTCCCCACTTCCATTCGTCATCCACGTGAACAAAGTTCCTCCCATGCGACATGATGAATCTCAGATCCTGAGCCATACCTGAAATGTTGGGAGTACAAAAGTCATAATTCTGCACATTTTTGTCGAAAGATTTCATACAGTCAAATTGGCTCATTACAATACTTTGATCCATGTAGTACCAAAAAGAGAGCTTTTCAGGTGTCAAAATCGACAATTGAATTCTCTGCCCATCCCGACAGTTACTAAATATCGATTTCGACAGTTCAAATGTCTAACCCGACAGTTTCTACGAAACTGCTCAACACTTGACCGGCATAAGTTTCGGGAAGCATACAAAAAATGTGTTTTACTGTTTCAGGAATTTATTGCAGCACACTAATGGTCATAATCAATTCTCAACTACAACTTCAACTGATATCCCCACACGCAAAGAAAGTATAACTCAATGCTTCATTAAATATAGAGTTACATATAAAATGATTCACATTTTCTTTAGAATATTGGTATTTCTTCCCTTTCTAAAATATACCAAGAACAAAAAACCAATGAATAAGAGATGAAATATGGACAATTAATTCTGACCATGTTTTATTGAATATTTAAAGTACTCAAGTATGACATGCAAAAATTTCTTTTCTACTACCTCACCTTTGAAATTGATCAATAGCTTTCCTTCATGCCTTGTTCATAATGAAAGGGGGATGATGAAGAAGAAGAAGCTATTTCAACTCCTACTTGTGTGTGCTCTTTGTACACATTTCACCCATTTTTTTAATCAAAAATTCATATTATACAATATAATATTCATTTCTTCAATATTAACAATAAAGATAAATAAATAATCACATCACACTATTAATAGCATGCAAATCAAGCATTTATTGCTCCTAAAAAGGTGTCAAAGGGTAATATGGACATTTTGTGGGGAAAAAGTGACATTTTTGCAAAAAAATTGTGCAAGACAAAATTTTTTGTGCATTTTCATATTTAGTGACATTTGTGTAAATTCCCCTATAAAATATGATTCAGCTCTCCAATTCTCTTCCAGCAACCGGCAGCCCTATTTAATTAATCTAACAAATGTCCAATTTGATTTTTATTTCCATTCCAAATACAATTCCAATTAAGGCCCAAATTAATGTTCATTGTCTTTAACATAAAGCACACTTCATATTCCAACTCCAGTTGATAAATGACCCATCAGCTTTATTTTTCTTCAATTTATCTAATAGCCAAATTTAGTCCCCGTATTTTGGATTTTGCCATTTTCCGCTAATTTCTGCTTCTTTCCTTAACTTCCTTTTTCATTCAATTAATTTACCTATTAAATATAAAATACAATAATTTAGGATATAATTTGTCAAAAGAACTATCAATTATTATTATTTTAGGCCTGTGTCATGCCCAACAAAAGCCCCTAGGAATTCTCTCTTTATCAGAGCCTCAATATCTCACTGCAATCCATCAAAATATTAGGCCTAGAGGTGTTTAAACGGGTAAATGACATTGGTAGTGCCTCCTGCCTTTGTTTTCCTTGAGCACTGTCTTGCCATGTGTTAGAATAATGTTATCTCTTGTATTTGAGCTTCTCATGGATGAAGTCAATTTTCCTTGTATACAGTCTCTTCCATGTTGATGTATTTTTCACTTCGGGTGAGTAGGTAGGTCACAAATTTCGATGGCATATTTGAGAAAGACATTTTGAATGATTCGCATTTTACTATGTATGTTAGGGCAAAGACTACAACCGTAATATATAGGTTGGGTATCTAGAGCCTTTTTGCATTAAAGCATGCATGAAATTAAGCGGCTCATTCTGTCCTTACCAGAGCTGCACGAGGGATTCGACAGTCTTTCTAATGCGCTTGCTACTTGCAAAAAAGATGAAGAACTTGTTAGCTAAGACTAAGAATGAGGTAACGGAATAGGGCTGCAAGGTGGAGAACAATTTCCTGGCAATGTTAGTCAGGGTCTACAGAAAGCTTTTGCACATCACCTGGTACGGTCTAACTTGCAGATCATGACATCCATGTACACATTGATGTGGTTGATTGGGTCAGTGGTATCGTCATACTCATTTTGACAAATTTCAATTTGTTCGGTAAAGGATACGACAAGATTTCGAGAGTGAATAGTGTTCTGAGTGAAACCTGTTGGGCCTTGACTATTCTAGAGTAGACCAACTGTTTCTATCTTGAATGATTCGTGCTATTTAGTTCGTGGTCATAGTGACAAACCTCGAACTTGAAGTAACAGGGGATTGGCCTCAAGATCCTCCACCGTTAATGTCGGGAATGGGACGAGAGGCTCGAGCTCGAGCTCGAGCTTGACTTGAGCATCAACCATAAAATCGACCTCAAGTGCTAACCTTGGATTTGGGTTTTGTTGGTTCAGCAATTGAGTCAATGTGGTAATTTGTTGGCTAAAATCTTCTAATGCCTCGAAAGTAAAAATTGCATGTTGGGGTGTTGGTACTTCTGGCTGCACCTCTGGAAGGATCGAAAAATCCTTGGCAAGAGGTTGAACTAGAGCAGATGAGCTTGTTATAGGAGGTCCTAAACGTGTATTAACTATGGCTTTTGGTAGTATATTCCATAGACGGCACCAATGATGTTAACAAAAATCTGCACCTTACGACTCTTGAGCTTGACGATGAACATGAGCATTAATAGAATATCTGATACCTAAAACAGAGCCGAGGTGTGTCATTATCGCTCCTTTAATACTCAAGATAACAAGAATGGAATTTATGTAAGGCTATGGATTGAAATTATGTAAAAAGGCCCTAAACAATGAATCAGAGACCTGCATTTATAGAGGCGGCGTTTGGATTAGGTTAAAAATGTCGAGTTGAAGTCCTACTAGGATAACTTTAACATCGTGAAGACCAAGCTAAGGGAACTCCCAGAGGTTGCTTTCACCTGGACAATAAAGACAATACCCGACAATGAATTACTCCAAGGACGACCTGGTTTAAAAGGCATGGCTCTCATGTTGTAGGGGCACGGGTTGGGGGTTTGAGACCCGATGATGTGCTTAATAATGAACACGTTCATCATTGTTCTGATAGTGCTCGGGGTTTCCCTTTGCGAGTTCATGCTCGAGTTAT